TATATATATACGGTTATTTGTGTAAAAATTGACAATTGGTGTCACTTTTATCAAGTATTTATAAGCGTTCTAGTAATTATTATTAGTTGATTGTAACTAATGATTATAAATCTTTAATAGTTGATTCTCTATAAATCTATATATATATATATTAATAAATTCACAGGCAGAAAAAAAAGACGAAAATCCCGATAAATTCTTTGAGAGAAACTTTTCGTGAGAATGCTTCAAAGATACATGTATATCATGTATATAATATTTCTTTTTAATTTTACTGTATTTCTGACATAATAAAGTAATTGAAATTTCTTGCACTTATATACGTCATATATGTAGATGCAAAATATTGAAGATGTATGTACATATATAGAAAAATACACACATATTCCCTTCGTCGATTTTATCTCTGTTTCTTTTTTCTCTTTCGTATTATGACGTATTAAATTAATAAAATAAAGAATCATATATTAAATAATATTTATATATTGTTTAGACGTATCTTTAATATTAATTCTTTAACAATGCGTAAGAAATTTTAATGAAGATAGATATACAGAGAGTGTTGTAGCTCTATTATACTTCTGCATTTTCAACTTGATAAGGTATAGATTCGCGCCTGTGGATACAACCCACGCATAAAACGTGACTTGCCATCATAAATGACATAAATGTGCTAAAATTGTAAGAATATATATTTCACAGCCTGTATGTATACAGGAAAAATTGAATTCGAATTCGATTCGATTTATACTGCGTTTTCTCGATGTATGCGTATGTATTAGTCGATTAACGATCGACACGTCTATTTCTATAATTGCCACTTTTTGTTTAGCATCATTCGTTCGTTATTCGCTGATTACGAAACTCATCAATGGGGTTTGCAGCTTAGTTGAGTCTACAAGATTATTAATGAAATTAGGATGCTGCGTGTACGTTCTTTAAAATGTAAGTATAAAAATACAATAAGAAAACAAAATCCATGCTTCCATTAATTATTAAACTTTTTGCAAAAATTTAACTTACTAACTTTCTAAGATCATTTCTCTCTCTGTGTGTTTTGTGTGTGTGTGTGTGTGTGTGTGTGTGTGTGTGTGTGCGTGCGTGCGCGTGTGTGTGCGTGCGTGCGTGCGTGCGTGTAAATACATTGCAATATATCGAAATAAATTAACGTGCCTAAATTTGACGTTAATTTTTGTTTGCATTTTGATTGCATTTTGTTTGTATTTTGTACTCCGACGATTATTTATTATAGCGAGATGTATAGCGAGATGTACAATAGAAATCTATGAGAGAGTCTATATATAATTCAAGTATATAATTCATCATAGTATATAATTTAATTAATGTTTCTTTTTTATATATCTTGCTACTGTTCAATATCCGAAAAAGGCTTTTTCTTTTATTTTGTACAAAGTGTAATTGAGGAATTGCTGCGAAATTCTAAAAATCTATGTATGTTTGTAATATTCTTTTCGCGTCTAATTATCCAAGTTTAATTACACACATTTCGCAATTTAAAAATTATGAATACTCAAAATGGAAAGAATCTCGATTATTTCCAGTATTATTTCCATAATGTGTTATTAATAATCAAGTGTATCTTCATACAAGATATTTAAAATATAAGAAATTGATGTAAATTGATATTGGCTATTCCTCTTATTGTTAGAAAATTTCTAATATTATCAATTGAAATTAAACTGAAAGCATCAAAAGCGCTTACTTATATATGTATTCATTTATGTAATTTAAATCTGCAATATATAATATTCGAGTTTGTCTATATGGACGTACATTCGATAGAATTTTTATTAAGATGACTCGCTTTTCATCATCGTGAATGCGGTAACCAACATAAGACAGCCTCGTCGTTTTCCGACGTGTAAATTGCGTAAACACGCGTATTTATATTAAGGCAAAAATATACAGGTACATAGTTGGTAAATGTTTGTGCTAAATGTGAGAGAAAATTAAACAAATTTAACATAGCTAGATATAATAATTTGAGTATATTTTTTATCATCATTTTCTGTTATCGTTATTAATATTATTCTCATGGTTATTATATTACTATCATAAAGATTGTTAACGTGATTATATTTATCATTAATATCATTATTTTATTAGTTATTTTATGCAATTATCGGCAAATTATATACCACGTACCCGCACACTACGTGATGTTCTTCTTATAAATAGTAGAATTTCAATTCATACGTTAAATTGTTTACAGACTATACTTCCCATATACACAAATGTATACATATTTTATAAATCGTATGATTTTTACATTTGTTGCTCATATGTAATTGCACATTACTTTTTTACAGTGTATACATATATATACACACACATACACACACACACACACACACACACACACACACACACACACACATATATATATATATCTTAAAATATAATATTGTATCGCATTTTAGCTATTTTAATAAAAAAAGTAATATAATCGAATTTTACTCTGTAATGTTTTTTTTTTTGGACGAAATTAGATGCTCAATGATGAAGCGTGAGCTTTTAACATTACCATTATTGGAAGCTAGATAACTGTGTACAGAGAGTGTACGAGCGAATATGTTTCGTAAGTTTTATGCGTATTATACGAAAGCATATTTTTCAAATTTTGATTTCAAGATCGGCTTCATTACTCTCGTGTAATGTAGAAGACGTGACGATCAATGTAAAAGATCGATTGGTTAAAGCGCAGTAGAAATGATATATAATTTATTCTGCAAAATTTGATCCTTTGATACTCTAAACATATAATGAGAGGATTTTAACTTTGCAAAATAAATTCTTATCTTAACGTTTATAATTCATTTACTTTTTACAAAACAAATTCATAATTTATGGAACATAATTTGTACCTAAAATTAAATTTAACAAATTTTCGCATTCTAATAACAGATCTAATTCCATTTACGTCAATGCAAACGTATCATCTTCTGTTTGTCAAATATTGAAGAATACATAGCTTGAATTATGCTAGTTTACAGCAAAAAATTACTTTGGACAAGATACATCTTGTAGATTTTGGAATGAAAACACTGAAAACGCGTCTAATTATGTGCAGTGCTGCAAATCAAATTTCTCCAGCATATCAGTTTTCTGAAATAATTGACATTTAATAAATAGATCCTGCCATTTTCGAAAATGATTTTTTTACAATATTTAACATTATTTTGCAAAAAAAAGTTAAGCTTCTTTAAGAAAATTCTGTATTTGAATTCTTCATAACATGGCTAATAAAGTATTGAACTTTAAAGAAATTTTAGGAAATGAACAATACATTTACAATTTCTGCTCAGAATTTCAAAGTAATGTTAATCTTTTTTTTTTTTATTAAAAAAATGTTAATGTCGCAAAAAAGCCATTTTTGATACATTAAATTTGGATTATTTTGGAAGCCTGTGACGTGCTGAAATTTGGCATCGTTTTCGATGTATCCAAAAATCTATAAGAAACATCTTATCTGATCAAAATAATTAAAAAAAATATATTTTTTTGTAAATCTATAGTGTAATCTTTTCATCTCGAATATGGAAGAACTAAAACGTGACAGATATGAAACTTTTAGAAATGGATTACGATCATCATTGTGTTGTCTTAAGTTGAAAAATAAGTCGCATGTCCGAAATTTAATGTATCGCGACATTATCGCGAACATAGAAGCATAGAAGGTTTTCGTTCGAGTGGAGGAACCTTGATGCACATCCTAAAAATCATAAATATTAGTGGGTAAGATTATTCTCTGAATTCTGGTTCAAATAAGAAAAATAGAGATAATAATTACATATGATACATATATATATTATGCATTCAGTCGTGCTTTATCGACAATAACATTTTCAAAAGATACTTTTCGATTAATCTCGGTGATATACATATATGTATAACCAGGACGAAAAACTCGGTTAAAGAATAGGAGCAAGCAGAATTAATGCATTTTCACAAGCAGATAAGACGTCGATCAATCTATTGGGGACAGGCACTTCCTCATGCGCGATACCATTTATAGCAAATTCACTCATTTCTAAATTTTCAAAGTCTTACCTATCCTATTCGCTCAGTACTGGCAGTAAGGACCTTACGCGAAAAAAATTGTATTAGGACATGTATCGTAAATTTATTATAAAAATAAATAAAACATAATTTGTAATAATGTTTGAAAATTTTTTGAGAATTTAATTGTAAATATAACGAGACTCTACATTTTCATCTTGAAACTTGGGAATATTTAGCTTAATATTTAAAATGATGATAACATTAAGATTTTGGATACTCACAACTCGATACTTTGGATAGTGGATGTAGGACATGTCGTATCGACTTTCACGTGACAGTGTTTGTGACACTTCATCTGACAATCCCTACATTCGTAACCCTGCTTACCGAGCCTTCGTGCAAGAGTTCTTTTACATATTTCGCAAACTGTTCCTCTAAAAACAAAGTTTACTTTACAATTATAAAATTTTAATTATATTTTTCGTATATGTTGAGCAATTCAATGGCATAATCACACTATAGCCGACAATCGTATTCTATCCAATTTATTTGCGATACATATATTGATTAAACAATATATATATATCGTATCAACAATTGTAGTACTAGTAACGATATAATAATGTTGTCGGCAAGATGATTACAACTTACCCTGCCATGTGCTTGGCGATAAATGTATGATCGTTAAATATGTGCAGCTTTATCCCTTTTTTTCTCCATTTACTTTTCTGTGCGAGAGAAAGTGGTACGAGGTAATGTCTAAAATTATAGAAGATATATAAAAAGGTGTAAAAACATATATGCTTTCTTCTACAGAGAGAGAGAGAGAGAGAGAGAGAGAGAGAAGGAATTACTTGAAGAGAGAGTAAACTTACTTCTTTATACCGTTCTCCAAAGTTTCGAGAACAAGCGTGGAAGCTTCATTGACGTATGTTCTCGTAGATGTTCCGCTTATACCCGAAGCTTCACTCAAACTTGATCGTCTCGATTGTTCTGGTACCGATAGATGAACTACAAAAAGAAGATTAATTCGTATCAGATATACATTCACTAATGATGAAAGAATAAAAAACATACATTCACTAAGATGAAAGAATAAAAAAGTAACTTTTGAAGCGCAAAAATAAATAAATTATATATTAATAAAAAAAAATGGACTCGACTTTCGTTAAGCACAATTGGTAGAAACCGTATGTTTTATTAACATATAGTAAGCGCGGAACATTTGTAATTGTGACAAATTATAATGATAAATTAAATATGAATAATCAAATTTTTTCTAAGTAAACTATTGTTAATGTTATTAAATCTGTAAATGAGATCTAGAAATAAGGTCATTTTTCAAATTTATTAACGCTTATCAATTATATTATCGACTTTATCTGAAAAGCAAAGTTTTCGTTCTTTCTTGCTAACAATACTTACCAATTAAAGTCGGATACCGTGAGAGTTACGCACACGTGAGCAAGACAGAGCGTGTACAAGTGAGTAATAATACAATACAATCGAAAAACGAACTATAAATAAGACTAATCTCTTCAATAGATCTCCTTTATACGGAGATATTTACATCAATCGCAATCGAACAGACTTTTTTAAACACATACACTAAATATCAAACACACAATCATTAAACAAATGTCAACTTGCAACAAAAATTATATGTTATTGTAGACTTGACAACAATTAATTTAATTTATAAAAAAGAATACTGGAAGAGATGTGGTGGATGGGGGAGAGGTATATTGAAATCTTACCAGATCCAGGGTCGTGAGCTCTGTCGGCAGATATGGATCTCGAATGAGCGTCTTCGTGATTAATTTCTCCTTCAGGACCCACTGATCTGCTTCTCGTTTTAGATCGACTCAGTCGTTTTTTTATGGTTCCAAAGAAATCACGTCGTTTTCTTCGTGCTCTTCCTCTCTCTACACAAAATATAAATGTTGTTGATTACAAATTACTGCAATACGATAAGAATAAATACACGCTAAACGCAATAAGAAAAAATTAAATAACTTCTAAAGCAGTATAAGAGAATTGTATTCAAATTTTATACCAATACTCAGAAGTAATAATAAAACAATGTATGAAATTTTCATATTCCAATAATGCTTTGAGATGTGACACATACTTAACATAAAATTATAATTTTATATATTATATTTATCATTAATTTTCGTGGATTGGAATTTTAATCACTTCAAAATTCTTACCTTCTGAATTGGAGGAATTAGGCGTGCTTTCTGGTCCTGAGATAGCATTGACATCTTTTGTTCCGTGCTGCACAGACAGTATTATGGAAAAGTTATACAAGTAGATGCAAAATCAATTGTTTGTTGCCATCATAAAATTTCATTTATATAAAGATAAAAATAACATTACATATATTTACTTACTTCCGGAGATATCTCTTGCCAGTTTCCAGTCTCCATCAGAGCGACCTATTACACATTAGTAAATACACAGCACTCAATCATGGTTAATACTTTCATGAAACAGAAGAAAAATACTTAATGTTAAAGTAAATTAAAATGCAAATAACGACACTTTGAATTCGTTTATCAAATTTTGTTTCACTGAATGCGACATGTAGTGATGTCTCTCTTAAGTTGCATGACATTGACACAATTATTCCTGAGATTTATTTAGTTTTCCCGTTATATAAAAAATAATTATTTTAATTCACACGAAAAAATGCAAACAATATCACGTACTTCTTACCTTGACAATCTGCCGTTCTGGTTGCTGCAAGAGAAGTCAAATAAAAATCATGCGCATTTAGTAGAAAGTCACAATATGATCACAAAGATCAAAAAGATATTTATCAGGGATAAAACAAATCATTTTTATTAAAATGATTTGTTTTATCCCTGAAATAATTCTCGGAGAATCAAAACAACTTTTTATTATACACACACAAATTGTTCTAAGGAATTCTTGATAATTGGAAAACTTTAAACTTATATTCCATTTTCATAAATTCAAGCCTGATTTTTCAGTTCTCATAACTTTTCACGCGAATGTTAATTTTTCGTGCAATAAGAAAAATTTGCATTCAGTGGCTTCATTAACTTACCCTTTGCTGACTATGTACAATCAAAGTTCCCTTATTACCGTTTGTTTGCCCGCTTTTGTATGGTGAATCCACAATGTTACCATTTGTCAAATAATCTGCAAAAATATTTTTATAATAAAATTTCATTTAAAAAATTGAATTTGATAAAATCTACGACTCTCTCTCT